GCCAATGGCCTTGTATATGAGTGAATAAAACCCCATTATTAAAATAAAAATATTGTGTTCATCGAGATTTAAGACTTTTATCATTGTTTTTACAATTGTTCGGTGGGAACACGCAATGCAGAGAATGGCATTTTCATAAATTAATTACGATGTACCGATAACGTTAGATATGTTTTTGTAGTCGCACCTTTGAAAAAATAAGTTCTGCCAGTCCAATGCGACGTAAACCCCGCATTGATATTGCTCGGTATACCGTAAAATTCAGCATACAGTTTCTTTGGGTAGCCATCCGCAATACCCCCACCGTCAAGTTTCCATATATATTTTCCCTTGATTGCAAATGTGTCTTCGTTGGTATCTAGAAATAATCACAATGTTAGCCAAGAGAGATATTATCTTCAGCTGGAACAAAATTGAGAGGAATATTGTGCCCTCCTACGGCATGTGCCAATACACAGTCCCTCACCGTGGCCAATTCGTGTCAATGACATACCTCAGCTATAGAATTCTGCCAGTGACGGCGTCGTAATCTTACCTGTCAATACAGCGTCGAAATTACTAGTGCATAAATCAGGAGCCCCGGGGTCCGACGGAGGTAGATCAGGCATAATTCCACCACCACCACCACCCCCTCGACCACCACCATGACCGTCCGTTACCGCCGTCACGACGACGACCACCATCGTCACCATCACGGTCTTCTTCCTGTGCATTGTTGTTTTCTGCATCGCCCACAGAATTACCAGACACGCCCCTGCCTGCACATATAAATTGAAATATACTTCACATTTAAAATCAACATTTACATACGACCAATGCGTATGGACAGAAAAGAACGATCTTTTACTTGAGTGAAAGAACATGTCAGCCACCAATAATTACTGGAATACTGACCATAGAGAGCTTGAATTCCCATAATATCATCCTGGGAAAGCTGTAGGTTTGGGTAGTATTCGTATTTTCGGTATATCGGGTACATAACAGCTTGTTTGTTGTTTGAATGGCTTAAACCCAAACTGTGCCCAAGTTCGTGAAGCGCCGTGCCGTCTAGATTTATGCCATCTTTACTGAATCTTGTGAAATATTCATCGTCATCAAAATGCATGTCCCCGTGTTCTGGGAAGTAAGCATGTGCCAATGTTCCACCTAAACAAAACAATTGATCTAGTTACTAGGTAACCTAAAACTGTCATTGAAAAATAAAAAAACAGCAGTTTCAAATACACCATTGAGTAAGGATGACCTTACCCGGGGTAGAATGATATATAATCGCCATCAACAATCAGATGAATAACTGAGATGTGTAACCATGATACCCACCTGGGCCATCAAATGCAGCCAAGGGACCGTCGCTGTGGATACGAGTGGCGAATTCGATATATATGTCAGCCTCATCGCTTGTAACTTCTTTGAACGTTAGAGGTGTGACGTCACTCCATCGTTTAAATGCTTCATATATGGCTGCTCTCTGTTGCTGTTTATCCATATCGTATGTGTATCCCAGAAACCTGAATGTCAAGTCAGTTTTCTTCCACTTGGATCCTACGATATAAACACATGTAGTCAAAATTCAGTGCGACACACCCATCTAAGAGTGTACCACTATTTCTGCGGGTGTGGCAAAGCATAAGCGCCAGAAATATATTTAACAGAGTAAACAACTTTATGAGGAACATGATCTGTACATATATACTCTGTATAAATTGTGGCTTACTACTCTGTAATCGAAAACATTTATAATCTATCCGAACATTCTAACAAGCCCGGCAACAATTATGGTCAGCCCCCATACTCCAAATTCCCTCAGGCCCTGAAATGTGAAGGCAGTGACAACATTTGTGTATCATTATGCTAAATGAGAACTTTAACGGACTCTTCACATCTTATTTCCTAACCAAACAACCCACCACGTCCACCGTTGTTATTGTTCATTCTTGACATTTGAGCTCGTAAAAACACATTACCAGGCATAGACTTTGAACGAACGATTTTCGAGACGGGATGACCAAAATAGCTGAACGTATACCCCCAGGGTTACTGGGTATTACCAATGTGTTCAAATACGATTTATTAAATCTGTTCGAAGAGGATCTGTAAACAACGGGAAAAATACCACTGCAATGGGTCACCTGCTAAATCGTATCTCTTCGTTATCGTCGGCACAAAGTTAGTTTCCACGGCATTCTCATCCGTGTCTGAACCAATCATGTCTTCGACACCACAACGAGGCATTTGCATTCCTGCCTTCGTTCTTTCATCCATTAACCCCGTGACCTTTAAATTAGTCATTCGCTGAAAATTCTTGATGGCTTGCGTCACTTCCATGTCGCCAAATTTAACTCGATTTGGAGACAGATAACCATATTTCTTGAGATATTCCTATGTGATAAACACAAAAAATCGCCGATAATATAAGGCCCGCCCAATTAATGAAAAGGGGTTTGTAGTGCAAAAAATTAAAGAAGTCTAAAGACTGACTCATAACGAAAGTACGGTGAGCGTCGCCCATGTTAGATGTGGGTCCTATGCGACATATATAACGCGTTTAAATACATTTTCGTTTTCGTTTCCCCCTCCCTTTAACGCGAACTTACTATATCATCAATTGCTATTGTCACGTGACAAACCCATCCAATAAGAAGAATCAGCAACATTCTATGTCCCATGGCGTTTATATTTCTGAAAAAAGGGTAAAAAACAAACAAATAAATATATATAAGTTGACGACATAGTGCACACAGCCATTTGAGAGAGGGTGGATCGCATTACCGATCTATGTCGTGTAATTTAACGCTTGCTAGTAATAAGCCTCTTAATATAGTATTTCAGAGAGCCTTGTATTTACCAAACAGCGATGTATTTTGTAACCAATTTAATTGTTTACATCAAGAAAAGTAACGAGTTGCAGAAAAAACAAACATAGAAACAGAAAACTTGGCACCAACGCAGTATTATGGTATAAGAATTCTTATTCAAGAAATGGATATACGTGCTAGACCGTAACACTAGGTATGCACTGCGGTCCTTTAACGCGTACCGCACAGATAAGTAGGCCAGATTTAGTGTTCTGTACGGCGGCTGTACACAGCATTCAAAACTACATCCACGTGGCAATGTACTGTATGTGTGTTGGTGGAAAACACGATATGGGCTTCAGAAAATATAATCTGCAAAGAAAAGGGGAGTAGTTGGAATATCGCTGGCACCTAAATTGTTTCAAAAATCATTAAAAAAAAAAATAGAAAAGAAACGGATATGTTAAAGGGCTTTCATTTTGTCAAATTTTAAGTACCATTTTACGGGTTGCTAAGGGCTCTACATGTCTCGTGGTCCCGTGCATATGAAACAAACATACAAACATTATGACATCAGTGCTTCTTGACCAAACAAAGTAAGCCATTTCAGGTGTTTATACACACTGAATGTCTGGTTTTCAAGTCTGACTCGTATCCTTAGTATGACCACGCCTGCGACCATGCTAAGTTCTAAATATATAAAGCACACCAAGCATTTCACATACATCATGTGAAATTGTATTGGTATTAATACATTGGAGCATGAGGAATTAGGGTTCGAGCTCAGTTCTGAGTTTACGAAAGTTGGGATATACACTCGTTTGTTCTACCTACAACTGGATGCCAGATCTTTGGCTTTAAAACGACGAGTTAATATACCATGTTCAAAGTTAGATCCTGAATATTCAACTTTTGAGTATAACTTCCACCTGCCCCAAGTTCAATATGAACATTTTATGACAACAATACACTCCAAACGTTCACGACTTGTACACAGCCGTACTGGATTCACGCACCCGTAACCACAGTGTTATCACATTTCCAGCATTTCAAAATAGTGGAAAAGCGGCACTAACCCCACAACGACATCTGTATAAGACTATTTGTAGTACCGTTGAACGTTATCGACAATACGAGGCTGTCACAGATCTTATGTGACAGTTTGGGTGTTTCAGTTGTTATGTCAGATCACAGTCCCGCAACAGTCCCTCACAGACTGTGTTGAGGGACTGCGGTCAGATAATGCATATGACACGATTACTCCCTTTCGACGGAAGATCATTTTATCTTTGGTCGAACCTTATATTTCAGAGCAGCTTGCGTAAGAAGTGTTTTAGAACATACACGAACTTACAACACGCGACGATATGAGGAGAGCGAGATCGACATTTGGTACAATCAGAGGCTATGCAAATGATTCATCAGAAACAATTTTACCAGAAAACGTTTTCAAATAAAGAAAAAAAGTTAAATAATTAAGCGCAACCAACGACACCGTGGTGAAGGAAACAAATAGGAATAACGTGTATGACCTACCTTTTCGACTGTCGATAATGTAATAGTTATGATTGGAATTCTGAATGAAACTGACGTCTTATATAGATGTCACCTTAAACAGTATATTATTAGTATAATGCGTCATTGAGGAATGGATTACACAGACTCGTGGGCAAATATACCCCCATGTCTCAATGTTTTTGCCGTCAACGAAAGGTAACGCCCTCAACACTTAAAACACAGACCTATTTAAAATGATTGAACGAATAAAACGGCTGTGCAAAACGTTATTTGAGTTGTTGAATGTCAACACATTTACATGTTGCGCTTGTTGACTGATCCGGTTTTAATGTCACCCACAGCCAATGCGGCATCTTAACAGAAACCTTAACAAACACGCGCGTTTCCTGTCACCTGCAACGAGTGGGAGGTTTTGGCAAATCATCAAGAACTGTTATTAAATCTGTTTTGCTTACTTCGCGAGTATTCCTTATTTATTGGTAATTCTATAAAGTTAGTGTGAGATGTTTTTATCCACCCCGTTTGTGCAAACCTTTGTAATGTGGATTCCAAATTATACTTATCAACGAAGCAAAACATTGGACATGTTGCCAACGAAACATTAATATAAAGCAAGGATTCATTGGATCAAATCTCACCAATGACCTACATCATGACGAAGCACGCTTACAGGTTTCACATCATTAATTCAGAGTATGTCCTTCGAGTATGGCTCTTGTATTATCGGCGGTGTCCGTGCGACTGTCTTACTACATACACGTCAAGTTCAAAGTTCACCCCTCTCTGACAGTTTTGATTTGTATCTTCACTTGCACGTATAAGTGGCTCCAAGATGGAATGTTCAGGTTAGACGCGAACAGCGCCCTCACGCAGTTTGTCACGGAGAGACACATACCAGTGAAAATATTCTAAATACGTACAGTACAGAAAATCTAGGAAATATAGTTTCATATCACTATGAAATGGCATAATGATATGCTAACCCAATATTATATCAATCCTGGATTTTAAGTAGTCGTGTTTACTATATATATTTGACTTTGTTTTGTCATTTCATCGCTTGATATCGATGTAACAATCAGTATTGTCATTTTATTACACCAATGTAACCATGCATATATCAATATAGCTATGTGTGGTATATCAATCTGGCTATGTGTGGTATATCAATCTAGCTATGTGTGGTATATCAATCTGGCTATGTGTGGTATATCAATCTAGCCATGTGTGGTATATCAATCTAGCCATATGTGGTATATTAATCTGGCCATGTGTGGTACACCAATCTAGCCATGTGTAGTATATCAATCTGGCCATGTGTGGTATATCAATCTAGCCATATGTGGTATATTAATCTGGTTATGTGTGGTATATCAATCTAGCCATGTGTGATATATCAATCTAGCTATGTGTGGTATATCAATCTGGCTATGTGTGGCATATCAATCTAGCCATGTGTGGTATATCAATCTGGCCATGTGTGGTATATCAATCTAGCTATGTGTGGTATATCAATCTGGCCATGTGTGGTATATCAATCTGGCCATGTGTGGTATATCAATCTGGCCATGTGTGGTATATCAATCTAGCCATGTGTGGTATATCAATCTGGCCATGTGTGGTATTCCAATCTGGCCATGGGTGGTATCTCAATCTGGCCATGTATGACACATCAATCTAGCCATGTGTGGTATATCAATCTAGCCATATGTGGTATATTAATCTGGCCATGTGTGGTACACCAATCTAGCCATGTGTAGTATATTCAATCTGGCCATGTGTGGTATATCAATTTGGCCATGTGTGATATCTCAATCTGGCCATGTGTGGTATATCAATCTGGCCATGTGTGGTATATCAATATAGCCATGTGTGGTATATCAATCTAGCCATGTGTGGTATATCAATTTGGCCATGTGTGATATACCAATCTGGCCATGTGTGATATACCAATCTGGCCATGTGTGGTATATCAATTTGGCCATGTGTGATATACCAATCTGGCCATGTGTGGTATACTAATCTAGCCATGTGTGGTATATCAATTTGGCCATGTGTGGTATATCAATCTAGCCATGTGTGGTATATCAATCTAGCCATGTGTGGTATATCAATCTAGCCATGTGTGGTATTCCAATCTGGCCATGTGTGGTATATCAATCTAGCCTTGTGTGGTATATCAATCTAGCCATGTGTGGTATTCCAATCTGGCCATGTGTGGTATATCAATCTAGCTGTGTGTGATATATCAATCTAGCCATGTGTGGTATATCAATCTGGCCACGTGTGGTATATCAATCTGGCCATGTGTGGTACACCAATCTTGCCATGTGTGGTATATCAATCTGGCCACGGGTGGTATATGATTCTAGCTATGTGTGGTACAGCAATATAGTCATGTGTTGTATTTCAATCTAGCCATGTGTGGTATATCAATCTGGCCATGTGTGGTATATCAATCTGGCCTTGTGTGGTATTCCAATCTGGCCATGGGGGGTATATCAATCTGGCCATGTGTGGCACATCATTCCAGCCATGTGTGGCACATCAATCTAGCCATGTGTGGTATATCGATTTGGCCATGTGTTATATACCAATCTGGCCATGTGTGGTATATCAATCTAGCTATGTGTGGTATATAAATTTGGCCATGTGTGGTATATCAATCTGGCCAAGTGTGGTATATCAATCTGGCCATGTGTGGTATATCAATCTGACCATGTGTGGTATATCAATCTAACCATGTGTGGTATATTAATCTGGCCATGTGTGGTACACCAATCTAGGCCATGTGTAGGTATATCAATCTGGCCATGTGTGATATACCAATCTGGCCATGTGTGGTATATCAGTCTAGCCATGTGTGGTATATCAATCTAGCCATGTGTGGTATATCAATCTAGCCATGTGTGGTATATCAATCTAGCCATGTGTGGTATATCAACCTGGCCATGTGTGGTATATAAATCTAGCCATGTGTGGTATATCAACCTGGCCATGTGTGGTATATCAATTTAGCCAAGTATGGTATATCAATCTGGCTATGTGTGGTATATCAATCTGGCCATATGCGGTATACCAATCTGGCCATGTGTGATATATCAATCTGGTCATGTGTGGTATACCAATCTGGCCATGTGTGGTATATCAATCTAGCCATGTGTGGTATATCAATCTAGCCATGTGTGGTATATCAATCTAGCCATGTGTGGTGTATCAATCTAGCCGTGTGTGGTATATCAATCTGGCTATGCGTGGTATATCAATCTAGCTATGTGTGGTATATCAATCTAGCAATGTGTGGTATATCAATCTAGCCATGTGTGGTATATCAATCTAGCCATATGTGGTACTAGTATATCAATCTGGCTATATGTGGTATACCAATCTGGCCATGTGTGGTATATCAATCTAGCCATGTGTGGTATTCCAATCTGGCCATGGGTGGTATATCAATCTAGCCATGTGTGGTACTAGTATATCAATCTAGCCAAGTATGGTATATCAATCTGGCTATGTGTGGTATATCAATCTGGTCATATGTGGTATACCAATGTGGCCATGTGTGGTATATCAATCTAGCCATGTGTGGTATATCAATCTAGCCATGTGTGGTATATCAATCTAGCTATGTGTGGCATATCAATCTAGCTATATGTGGTGTACCAATCTGACCATGTGTGGTATATCAATCTAACCATGTGTGGTATATCAATCTAGCCATGTGTGGTATATCAATCTAGCTATATGTGG